ACTTTCGGAATCTCCCAACTGGCAATAACGACCTCACCGTCGCCTTGGGAATAGCACGAAGCTTGGATTTTGCACCCGTCGCCGAGAAACTTGATCGCGGTCGCTTCCGTGGCGGTCATTACGGTTTGTGTCAGCACGGTCACAAGCTTGTTGTCATCATCTCCGTCTTGATTTGGCAACCGAAAAGCAGGTACGGGATGCTTCTTCCTCGGGAACTGGGGCGACTGCTTGGGGGGTTCGTTGACAACGTCCTTCATGTGCGAGTAGATTGATCGGAGCCACTCAGGGTGTGTTGTGCCAGCCTTCTGGTCGATCTTGGTGAGCGCCTCGTGTTTCTCACGAACGTGAGATAGCATCACCCTATATGTATACGAAGTAAGTGATTTTGTATGTGGGCTGTTTTCGTGGCCTTGTGTGCACGAATGAAGCAAAGCCTTGTAAAAATCTTGAATTGATAATCGTTTGACCGCCTCGTGCACGTCTTTTTGCAGGACGTGTCCTCCCCGAGGGTCTAATCGGATCAGGTCCTCCAGTTCCGATGCAAACACTTGCATTTCCGTCGGACGGATGCCCTTTTTCATGTCGAGAGAACTTAAAACCCAGCCGCCATAATACAAGTGGTGCGAGAAAGTCTTTCTGAACACGGCTACGAGGCTATCTGCGGCGTAGCCCGCATGCCACGCCTTCACTCCAACCATTCGTTATCATATGCTGCAGTGGCCCGACAACCTCACCAAACCAAAATGGCTATGTAATGTTTGCAGTGCGTGTGTTGAACTGCTGTATTTGGACGACCTGCTTGCGATGGCGACGCGGCGGGGGCCCTGGCGAAAGTAACCCAACAATGCAATCACAATGCAAATCGTTCAAAGGGGCCAGAAGAGCGCAATGCATCGCGCGACGGGGGTGCGTCGAGTCCATCCGCCACCGCACGGCCACGAACCTCGAATCCACAAACAATCGATTGGGTTTGGACGGGAACATAATGCGCACAGGCCACGGAGGCAAACGGTATTCTCGTCGACTCCGTGCGGGGCATTTAGGCGCATGAATGAATCGTGCGTGCACTTACTCATCCGTTCGCTCCTCCTTCCCCCCCTTCTCCTCCTCCTCCTGTTCGTCGTCCTCGTCCCTCCTCCTCGCCCTCCGCCTCCTCCTCCTCCTCTTCCTCCTCCTCCTTCTCCCCCTCCTTCTTCTCGCTCCTTCTCACCTGCCCTGTCCTACACCTTTCCTAGTTCGATCCCTTTCCTCCTCCGTTTCCTCCTCTTCGCGCCCCTCATCCTCGTCCGCTCCTCTGTCGGCCAGTTTGGCTCGATCACCTCAGGTTCGACCACCATCGCTAAAGATGGGAACCGCATCTTGAAAGATGCGGATTTGAGGGGTCCTCATCTTTCAGATGAGGTCCCAATGCGAACCTCAAGGAAAGATGAGGATCGGGTGCGCTGGGATGCTGGCCCGGCAGCAGCGCGGCCGGGCCGCGCCGCCCAGGAAACGCCGGCCAGCCTCGAGCACCGACCCCAGGGGAAGGAACGCCCCCGGGCGATGGCTTGAGCACGCCCCCAGGGGAAGGCACGGACCTCATCTCCATTTTGGCACGCCCCTCACACGCTTCGTGGCCCCGTAGGGCGCTCCACCGAAGGCCCCAATTGCAGGGCCCCAATGCGTACTCGAACCCATTTTGGCACTCCCCTCACACGCTTCGTGGCCCCATAAGGGGGCTCCACCAAAAACCCCGATGACAAGGCCCGCATGGTTACTCAGGTCGATGTTGGCAGACCTCTCACACGCTTCGTAGCCCCAGTGGGAGCTCCACCGAAGGGCCCAGTGGCAGGGTCCACATGGTAATTACTAGGGCCCTGGCCCTTTCCAGCACACCACCGACACGCATGGTGGCCCCAGTGGGAACTCCACCGAAGGCCTCAGTGAGTGCGTGTCGTGCGTGGGTACTGCAGAACCCCCTGAGGAAATCTTGTGCATTGTGCGGTCCTGTTGAGAGTTCTGACGCGTGTAAAATCGATTGGGTTTTTCGACATAGAAATTGTCCCCCCCGACGGTTTCGACCTGGACGGGTTGGCCCAGGGAAGGTCTCGCCGGGGACAATTTCGAACAGAACGGATTCGCCCGGGACGGTTTCGCCTGGGACGGTTTCGCCTGGGACGGCTTCTTCGCCCGGGACGGCATCTCCCGGGACGGCTTCGCCCGGGACGGCTTCGCCCGGGACGGTGTCGCCCAGTTGGTTTCGTCTGGTCTGTTTCGCCCGGTCGGTTTCACCCATGCAATCGTTTTCGCCCCGTCGGTTTCGCCCGCTCGATTTTGCCCTGTCGTATTTGCCTGGTCTGTTTCACCCAGTCGGTGTTGTCCGGTCGGTTTCGTCCAGGTCGGTTTCGCCCGGTCGGTTTCGCCCAGTCGGTTTCGCCCAAAACCATGCCATTCCGCCCAGTGACGGAGTCGCCCGGTGAAGGTTTCGCCCTGGACCAGTTTCGCCCGTGGGCGAAGCCGTCGCGGGGCCGTCCGCAGCAGCTCCACCGAAGCAGGGTTCGCACGTGGGCGCTGCAATCGATTCGGCGCACCTGGCACACGTTTCGTGGCCCCAGAGGGGGCTCCACAGAAATCCCCAGCGGCAGGGATCGCATGCGGTCTCTGAGGGGCGGCCCAGAGCATATTGCCTTCTTTCGACTGTGCAATTTGTTTGCCCCGTTCCGCGGACGACCCGCGCGCGTCGGTGAATTCCTGCGCGCGTCGCGGGAAATTCCCTGCGCTCTGCCTCCAAGAGCCACCCCCCGCGCCTTCAGCTGGACGACAGGCTTGCAACTTGCGGGGTCCTGCAAGGAAGGACTCTCCGAGCCCCCGCTCGCTCATCAATCATGTGACCGCGTGGCATTGTTCGCCCTCGTCCTTACCATCCGAGCCCCAATCCTTTTGATTACCCCACCTTCTTCGTCACCTCTGCCCCGCGATATTTGCGATTGCACATGATTGGGTTCTTCGCCAGGATACTTTGTGTTTCGTGGCGCCAAGGCAGGGGATCTGTCGCCCCATTTCCACAGCCGCTCAGAACCAGCACCCTGGAACCCCTCCGGACACCACCCTGGCCAAATTCGATCGGCGTCCATCCGTGGCCAAGACGCCCCCGCCCCCCACCCCATGCACCCGTACCCCCACAAACAAACTGAAGACCCCTTTTGCTTCTTCTTCTTCGTCCTCCTCCTCCTCCTCCTCCTCCTCCCCCTCCTCCTCCTCGTCCTGCTCTCCCTCATCCTGTTCTTGTTCTCTCTAGCTCGTGAAGCGAGGGACTGCCACGCGGCGACTGGTGACACATGGCGCTGCGAGGCCTCCGAGCGCCGCGCGAGGGTGCACCCTGAGGAGGCCCAACCTACGAAGCAGACGGCTCACTGCGCAAGAGGTGCGGGCAACTCACAGCCCGAAGACTGCAACAATAGGCGTCGACGCTGCTCGGCGTCGACGCCGACGACGCCGACCGGCGACGTCGACCGGCCGCCATGCTCGGCGCCGCGGCCCCGAGATCAGCGACGACGTCGTCGATTGGCGTCGACGCCGATCGACGCCGACGACGCCGACTGGCGTCCGACCGGCCGAGATCGGGAGGCCAGGAGAACGAAGAAGACATCAGCATCTGTGCTCCCCAGTGATGGGCCAGTTTTCCACCACCGCTGCCATACATCGCACCTCCTCCTCCTCCTCCTCCTCCTCCTCCTCCTCCTCCTCCTCCTACATATGGTAGTGTGGTGGTGGAACATCGCCCCCTCGCCCAGGACACTCCGCACCTCGGCCTTCTCGATGCGGGGGGCCCGGGCCTCCCTCGGCGACTCCAGGGGGTGTGGCTCGCAACCCGCGCCCGAGGGGGCGGGCGAGGGCCTCGGCAGAGATCTCTGCCGCGCCCCGACGAGGGCTCGTCGGACCTCTGCAGGGGGCCACATGCGAACAGGAGGTTTGCTTATGTTCGCTGCGCGTTTCGTGCTGCACGCGCATTCTTCTATGCCAGCTCGTGGAGAGCTTCTTCACACCAGCCGCCGCCCCTGCCCTGCCCTCTCAGGGTCTCACCTGCTGGAGAGGGAGGAGTGATGAGGAGTGATGATGAGGAGGAGGAGGAGGAGGAGGAGGAGGAGGAGGAGGAGGAGGAGGAGGAGGAGGAGGAGGAAAAAGTCAGGGGCGCCACCCCATGAGAAAATTCGATCACACGCCGCCCCGCGCGGCGCCACCGCCGAGGGCGGCGCCCCTCGGCGCCCGAGAGGCCCTGGAGGCCAGAGCGTCGAGGCGGACGCCGCCGTGGCGGCCAGGAGGCCCCGAGGAGGCCGAGAGCGTCCTGGACCAGAGGCCTGGAGCCTCGGGCAGCGGTCCGCCGCCCCTGCCCCCAGGCATCCGACGTCGTGCTCTGCTGCGGCGTGGCTCCCGAGAGGTCTGGACCCCTCCTCCTCCTCCTCCTCCTCCTCCTCCTCCTCCTCCTCCTCCTCCTCCCTCCTCCTCCTCCTCCTCCTCCTCCCCCTCCCTCCTCCTCCTCCTCCTCCTCTCCTCCTCCTCCTCCTCCTCCTCCTCCTCCTCCTCCTCCTCCTCCTCCTCCTCCTCCTCCTCCTCCTCCTCCTCCTCCTCCCCGCCGCGAGCTCGTCAGCCCGAGCCGTTATCTGAAGGCCCCAGGGCTCGGCCAGGGCCCCGCGAGGTCGAGAAGGGCCGCAGACCTCCGTCCCCGCGGCTTCCAGACTCGAGGGATGCCTGGGTCACTCGGTCGTCGGCCTCCCTCCTCCCCCTGGGGGGGGAATGTAGCGGGGGCTGGCCCAGAGGGGGAGGGCATCGACCTGGAATCGGCGATGCATTGCCGATGGATTGGAGATAGGTTCCCGATCGCAGATCCGCGGGGTCCTGGGAGGGATGGGCTCTCGCGCCCTACCGGCGATCTGTGGGCAGGTGAGGTTCGATGCATCCCCCCCCTCTGAGCCTTATCCCCCCCGAGGCTGCCCCTGACCCGCCCCGAGCCCCCGCGCGGCCGTGCAGCCGGTGAAGGCCATGCCGCCCCTGACACCAGCCGCGGCGCACAGGAAGCCCTCCTGGTCTCGGCGTCGGGGAAGGAGAGGGGGGCAGGGAACGGTCTCGTCGTCCTCCTCCTCCTCCTCCTCCTCCTCCTCCTCCTCCTCCTCCTCTTCTCCCTCCGAGGACGATGAGAACGACGGCGGCGGCGAGTTCGAAGCAAGAGTGGGAGGCGGAGGAGGAGGATACCGAGGGCCGAGGAGGAGGAGGAAGAGGACGGGAAGGATGAGCAGAAGAGAGACAGTGCGAGGAAGGGATGCTGCTGATGATGACGACGATGAGACAGGAAAATGGGGAGGTGGATGATAAGGGCTTGAAGAAAGAAGAAGAAAGAACACAACGAGGATGCGGAGGACGATGGAAGAGGGCGGCAGTGAGGTGTAATGAGGAGAATGTAGCAAAGGATCAGTTTGGATGAACGGGGAGGCGGTGCCAGGGGGGAAGAGGAGCAAAGGTAGGACGTAGAACGAGGGAGGAAGAGGAGGGAAAGGGAAGAGAAAGACGACGAGGACGGCGTATCGGAGAAAGGAAGAAGCAGCTTGCGGAGAGGGAACAGCGAAAGGAACATGAGAATGACGATGAACGGGTAACGTAGCGAGGCATGCCATGAGGATAAAGAAAAATGACGAGGATGTGCTGGGGAATGCAGGAAGCTGCGCCACCGAGAAGCGGTTATTGGGCATGCCTGTTCTCTTCACCGTCGTTCTCATCATCGTCGTTATCATTATGCTCCTCTTTCTCTTCCAATTCATTATTCTCCATCTCCGGTTATCCCCCGTGCTCTATCCCCATAGCCACATAGATTCGTTTCCACCTCTTTCTCCACGTCGAACGTGTCCCCATGCTTATCATAGTACTGCCTGCTGCACCTCCTCCTTCCCCTCCTCCTCGTCCGCCACCTCCTCCTCCTCCTCCTCCTCCTCCTCCTCCTCCTCCTCCTCCTCCTCCTCCTCCTCCTCCTCCCCCTCATCCTCATCCTCATGCTTCTCCTCCTCCTCCTCCTCCTCCTCCTCCTCCTTCTCCTCGTCCGCATCCCCCTCCTCATCCTCCGTCTCTTCCGCCCTCTAAAAACCTTCGGACATGTCCTCGAGATACTCCGACGCAGATGCGGCCGTGGCGACTAGAGTAGGATCCTCTTTCGAGTGGACGTGGACGAGGAGGCGACCAATGGGGGGGGGGGGGGGCGAAAGAGGGGTGCAGGAAAGTCGCCGCAATGGTACCCGACAGGGTCGAAACTTCCTCGCAACTCATTCGCAGGCGGGGCTGCCGCTCGAGACTTCCTCCAGATGAATGTGTGAGTGCGTCTTGTGCGCGGACGACCATGACTGACAATGGTGGCATGATGATGATGGTGACGACGATCATGATGATCACGATGGTGACGATACTGATAATGATAATGATGATGCTGATGATGATGACGATGAGGACGGTGATGATGGTCATGATGTGAGCGCGTGAGGGTCTATACGTTGATCTAAATGTTGAATGTGGGATGATTATGGTGGTGATGGTGCTGGTGGAGATGATGATGGTAGATAATGGTGACGATGATGTGCTGGTATTGATGACGGTGGTGATGATGATGCTGATGATGCTGCTGATGATGATGATGATGATGATGCTGATGCTGATGCTGATGATGATGATGATGATGATGATGATGATGATGATGATGATGATGATGATGATGACAAGGAGGCGGAGGAGGAGGAGGAGGAGGAGCAGGAAGAAGATAATGATGATGTGAGAGTGTTCCTGCTCCTGCTCCTGTGCGGAGGTGTCCAGAGAAGACACGAAACCCACTTCGGCTGTGGGGAGAATTGCGGGAGATTGGGCTGGGATCAGCGCTTGTCCTACTGAATTCCGCTTGAAAAGAACATCGAACATTAAGGAATGCTGCAGGAGACTTGGTATCAGCGCATGTCCATCGAATCCCAATCCAAAGCAAATCTAATACCAGATAATTATGTAGGAGGCTCAGGTCGGCGCATGCCCTGCTGAATTCCTATTGAACACCAAAGAAACATATCAAACAATTCACGCGAGGCTGAATCCCCATTGAAAACCAAATTAAATGTTAAATAATTCTGCGGGAGGCTGGCATTAGCGCGTTTCATATTGAATTTGCATTTCAAAACAGATGAAATGTTCAAGCTAAAGCATTATGCTGGAGGCTGGGATCGGAGAACTCCCTTTGAATCCCGATCGATAGAATACAAAGTATTAGAAAAGTTCTGCGTGAAGCTAGGATCGGCGCATCTCTGATTGAGCTCCGAATGGAAAACACAATATCCGCCGGCCCACTTGCGGGGCCATCAGGCTGCGAGGCTTCGACTTGCTGGTCCCTGCGCTAGTTCCAGTTTCAAGTTTCCAATGTTACAGTATTGCTTTCTACTTCTTACAATAATTTGTTACTGTCCGCGCGAGGAAGGGGAGCCGAGAAGGACCCTGGCTAGCGTCCCCGAATCACATCCTCAGAATATCTGGGGGGCCGTGGGACACGTCAAAATATATGAGATCCACGCTCCCGACGCAATCAAGTCTTATAAATTACGCTGTGTTCGCGCCCGCCAGGCCAAGATCCCTGGTAAATTCCACTGTAGTCGCTGGGCCGAAGGCCACTAGGATCCGCCGCCCCCTGTCGATTCATCGCAGGGGTGCCTGGCATGCTGGATCTCTCGGTTTTGGTTTTGTGTTTTTTCCAAAAGAACTCCCCCTGGCGCTTCGGCCCGTCCCGCCGGGGTCCCGGGAGGCCCTTCCAGGAGCACAAAGTCCCGAACAAAATCCTCCAAGACGGCTCCAGATGGCGTCCAAGATGGCCACGTTGGCCCAAGATGGCCTCCAAGATGGTCCAAGATGGCCTCCAAGTCCGCCCAAGATGGTCCAAGACGGCCTCCAAGACGGCCCAAGAGAGTCCAAGACGGCCCAAGACGGCCCAAGAGGCCCCCCAGAGGCCTCCAAGACGGCCCAAGAGGCCTCCAAGAGGTCCTCCAGGAGAACCCGAAGAGGCCAAAATTATTGATTTTCCATAGGTTGTTCGAAGGATTTGGGGACTTGCTTCTTCTCGGCATTCCGACGGCTCAAGACGGCCCAAGAGGCCCCCAAGATCGCCCAAGAGCCCCCTAAGAGGGCCCCATGACGGCCCAAGTGGCCTCCAAGACGGCCCCAGGAGGGCACCAAGACGGCCCAAGAGGCCTCCGACACGCCCAAGATGGCCTCCAAGACGCCCAAGATGGCCTCCAAGACTGCCCCAAAGCGCCCCAAGAGGGCCCCAAATCGGCCCAGAAAGGCCCCCAAGACGGCTCCCGACGGCGTCAGACGTGCCAGGAACCCACCAAGATGGCCGAAGTTGGCTCAAAAATGGCCCAAGACGGCCCAAGAGGCCCCCAAGAAGAGGCCAAACACATTGATTCTCTTAAGGTATTTGACGGATTTTGACATTTGGTTCTTTTCTGCCTTCCGACGGCCCGAGACGGCCCAAGAGCCCCCAAAGATCGCCCAAAGATCGCCCAAGAGGCCTCCAAGATGGCCCCAGAACGACCCAAGAGGGCCCCAAGACGGCCCCAAGAGGCCCCCAAGACGGCACAGGAGGCCTTTAAGACGCCCAAGATGGCCTCCTAGACGGCCCTGGAGCATTCCAAAGGCCCCAAGTCGGCCCATAGGCCCCCCAAACGGCTTCCGACGGCGTCAGACGGGCCAGGAACCCACCAAGACGGCCTTAAGATGGCCTTAAGATGGCCTTAAGAAGGCCCGTAAAGGCCAAAATCATTGATTTGCAATGGGTTTTTCAGGATTGTGGCATTTGCTTTTTTTTCTGCCTTCCGACGGCCCGAGACGGCCCAAGTGCCCACAAAGATCGCCCAAGAGGCCCAAGACACGGCCCCAAGAGGCCCCCAAGACGGCCCAAGAGGTCTCCAAGAAGCTCAAGATAGCCTCGAAGACGGCCCAAGAGCCCTCCAAGACGTCCTCCAAGAAGGCCCGAAAGGGTCAGAATGGCCTCCAGACGGCCAAGATGACCTTCAAGATGCCCACGTGTTCTCTAAAGGCTTTCCAAACCGAATCGGGGAACACATGGTCCGATAGCTTGGCAGGCCTCTGGCCACAACCTTCGGCCACATGGGCGCTTCCAGAAAGGCAGGGGGCGGCGGTGATTCGCCGTAGGCGTCTTCGATCCGCCGCCCCCTGTCGATTCATCGCAGGGTGCCTGGCGTGCTGGATCCTTTCGGTGTTGGTTTTGGTTCTTTTTCCAAAAGAACTCCCCCTGGCGCTTCGGCCCGTCCCGCCGGGGTTCCAGGAGGATTGCCCGGGACCCCAACGTGCACAAAAAATCCTCCAAGGCTGCTGAAGATGGCGTCCAAGATGGCCACGTTGGCCCAAGATGGCCTCCAAGATGGTCCAAGGAGTCCAAGATGGCCTCCAAGTCCGCCCAAGATGGTCCAAGACGACCTCCAAGACGGCCCAAGAGAGTCCAAGACTGCCCAAGACGGCCCAAGAAGCCCCCCAGAGGCCTCCAAGACGGCCCAAGAGGCCTCCAAGAGACCTCCAGGAAGGCCAGAAGAGGCCAAAAACATTGATTTTCCATAGGTTGTTCGAAGGATTTGGGCATTTGCGCCTTTTCTGCATTCCGACGGCTCAAAGCGGCCCAAGAGGCCCCCAAGATCGCCCAAGAGGCCTCCAAGGTGGCCCCATGACGGCCCAAGAGGGCCCCAAGACGGCCCCAGGAGGGCACCAAGACGGCCCAAGAGGCCTCCAACACGCCCAAGATGGCCTCCAAGACGCCCAAGATGGCCTCCAAGACGGCCCCGAAGCGCCCCAAGAGGGCCCCAAATCGGCCCAGAAAGGCCCCCAAGACGGCTCCCGACGGCGTCAGGCGTGCCAGGAACCCACCAAGATGGCCGAAGTTAGCGCAAAGCTGGCCCAAGACGGCCCAAGAGGCCCCCAAGAAGGCCTCCAGGAAGGCCAGAAGAGGCCAAACACATTGATGTTCCTTAGGTGTTCGAAGGATGTTGGCATT